GTTTTGTGTCGCAGAGTGTGAGAGGCATTGGAGAGGGCAACAGCATGGTGAAGATAAGGCTGAAGTAGTGAGGACAAAGTTGTGAAAGGCTGATTAGCCTATATAGTGGGTCATGTATATTATTCTTTTATATGCATATTTCTTGCTAGAATACATTCTTTAGAAGCAAAGGTTATATTTTATGTAATAGTATTTACTTCAGTATAAGGCATACTTCCTTGGACATAATAGATGTTCAGCAAAGGAGAGTTAAATCACCTGAAATGAGAACATCTACTGAAAGTACTTTGAAAATTATGCCATTATTCAGCTGTCAATGATTATTGATTGATAGCAAGGAGTGACTATTCTCTACTCTAGATAGTGATGAAAGAAACATTCTTTTGGTCCATAATTTTTTCCTGAACCAAACCTATTTCCATTTTTAAATCATAGCACTATGAGCAAACTTAAAATATTGAAATAGATACTTTTCGTTTGTGGCAAATTCTGGATTCTCCACTCATAAAAAAGTATCTGATGTGATTAAAACAAACTAATATGGGTTTTTTGGTTGTTTTTTTACATAAGGTTTTTACAATATGTGCTGTCATGAATATAGAGTCTTTCAAATTGTCTGTCTTTGACCTTAGCCAGACAAGATATAAAAAACTACTTGGCTGGCTACAGCTGCAATTCTGTGGTGAGAATTGATTTACATAGTAATGTAGCTAAAGTATTGGAAGATAGAATTTGATTCAGTATGACACTGGTAACTGTTTAACAACTGGCTTTCTAGAAAGGAAGATACAAATAAGGAAACCCTGATTCCTAGTATTTGCTGATTTCAGTGATATAAATACTTTCTTATGGTCTACTCCAAAGTACTCACATAAAATATCAAAAATATGTGGTTGGGAAGAGATGCTGACAATCAGTTCATTTGAATCTGTAGGAGCTAGCCCAACACATTGTTAATTTGATGTTAAAAATAACTATTGTGATTTTAAAAAGTTTAATGCACATCTATTTGCATGTGCAACAGTCATCTAAATGCTTTACATGGTGTATTTCATTTAATTTACACAACAGCCTATAACATAAGTTCTATTTCATAATTCCCACTTATAGGAATCTGTATTTCAGAAAGGTTAAGCAATTTGCTTACATTACACAGATAGGTAGAAGTGGAGCATAGATTCACACATAGACAATTTGATGCCAAAGCCTTTTCACCCACCACGATCTTTCTTTCAGGATAAAAAAAATTAGGTTATGGTTAGCATAGTTTCCGCGTTAAATGTATTTCATATTTAATGCATATATATATATATATATAATTCTTTAAAAAGTTGAAGTAAATGATAGTTCTATGAATTTGCAATGTCCAACTAAATACTTATTGCATAACCAGTCAAAACAAAGTGATTAATCTCAGCAGAAAAACTATACAAAAAGGGAAAGCAATCTAAGTAATTATAAGTTTGTATAATGAAAAAAATGATAGAAATTTTACCATTTTGAAATCTTAAAAAGATTTCTTGAGGGAAGGTTAATTGAAAAGAATTCACAATTATTTTTTTAAAAGAGCTGTTATTTACAATTGCATGAATTCCAAAACTAATACAGACTCTTGCTTTTATTTCAGCAGCAAAGAGTGTTTCAATAGATGCAGAAAATTTATTAGAACATCAAATGGATGTTGTAAATAGCTGAACATTCCCACTTGGTTTTCTAACACTGAGGGCTCAAGAAAAAGGTTATTTTTGACTGGCTAAACATGCAGAAAATGTAATAGTATATTAATAAGGTAAGATTTTAAAATGAAAAAGAAGGGAGAGAAGATAAAACTGTGAGTGTCTAAAAAGACAAGATGGCTCTAAACTTTGGAATCACTTTAGAAGATTTCAGAGTAAGACCTGCCACTACCCTTAAGGCAAATAGACCAGTATATATGGCCAAGGCTGAAATTGTGAGAAGGCCTTATGTACTGGAGGAAAGGTCAGAACTTTAGCACTGCAGGAAAGTTCTGTTTTGGAAGTAGACATAAGCTGAAAAACCAGTTTGGAGATAAACTATAAAGAATGTTGTATGCCCAGCTGAAGAACATGTATTTTATTCTGTAAGTACCAAAGAATCTAAAGAAGTTCTTACAGAAGTAATAATAGGATTAATATTTTAAGACAAAAAGCCTTATGGTAGTGTTGGGTAGAAGTTGAGGGGAGATGAATAAAAAGATTAATTTATTACAGTATTCTCAGACATGATAAAGGCCTAGAATAAAGCTGAGATACTATGGGTAAAGAATGAGAATTAATTTCAGGGTTATGTTTGATGTAAAATTAACAAGATTTGGTTAATGTCTACATTCGGGTTGGATTTGGGAGAAAGAGTGAAAAGGAGAAAAAGTTAAGAACATGAAGAGTTTCTAGGTTAGGAAATTGTGTAGATAATGATGTTATTAACGACAGCTGAGAATAAGGTGATGATTTATAGTTTGAAGTATTTGCACATACACTATCTCATTTAAGATTATATTTATATTATAAATGACCATTAAAGCTTTGCTGAACGGTTAACTGCACATATGGATATACATGCCATCATGGTTTTCCAAAATATTTTCCCACCTAGGGCTTTTTAGTGACTTGCTAAATGAGTTATTTATGTTACAACCATATTTGTTTTATTTATTTATTTATTTATTTTACCATACTTGTTTTAAATCTTTTTAACAATGATGATGTTTTCCTCTCTAACCCCTGTATTTGGTTTAAGTTTTTGTGTTAGTGGTTCTTATTAAGTCTTTGAGAACTATTTATTATCTTGTCAGTCTGGAAGTTTTAGGTTTAGCATATTTATACATCATTTATGTAATTTATTAAAAGACATAAGAGAAAAACTGCCTCATCAAACATCAGGTCCTACCATTAAACTTAAAAGATGTTAAAACTGGTAATATTTAAAGTCATAGGCTATATATATTAGTCCTTAAACAATCCATAGTTTTTAAGTAATAGTGTGATGGAGATCTAAAAAAGAGTGTGTTTTTAGAAAACTAGTAAGACAAGGAAACAAACACCAAATTACAGATCAATCTAGAATCACAAAGCTATGGCATTAAATAGGAAGCTTGTTCTTGGGGTACCTCCCTGGTTCAGCTGGTAGAGCATGCAACTCTTGATCTCGGGGCCTTAAGTTTGAGCCCCACGTTTGGGATAGAGTTTACTTAAAAAAAAGGAAGCAAGCAAGCAAGCAAGTTCCTAATACTATGTTAGCCCACAGTTAGCTAATAAGCAAGTCGGTCCTCATGGGTTGATCAGAAGCATGGAACAGGTTGCATTAGTATGGAATGCAGAATTGTGGAAAGCCTGAGGTTAAAAAAAAAAAAGGAATGGAATTCGAGATACAAAGAAGTAGCGCTTGGAGAACTCACTGATGCATAATTTGAACAACTGCCCTGTTCTCACTGTTAGTGTGGATGAAGTGCTTATACTGCAAGGCTCTCTACAAATTTAAGCAAATATTTCTCTGGAGGAATTTACAAGCTAAAATAATAGCAAATGCCAGAACTGGAATCACAATATATTTAAGAGTATTTACAAGACAAGAGGCTGATGAACATCTCATTACCTAAAGTAGTAAGCTAGTCCTATCTTGCCATATATGCTCCCTTTGGTTCTAAAATTAGGATTCCTCTTGTATGTTATTGTGGTTTTTATGAATTTTTACCAGAGAACATAAACCTGACCAACTTTGAAACAATCACCAGGGGGAATGAGGTTTTTGATGATTGAACAGTAATCACAAGTTTCTTAATAAGCATGTATTTAATAATAATAATATTTTGAAAACCATTTTCTTTTTTATAGGATTATGTAATTGAAAAAAAAAATCAGAACTGACTTGAAATAACAAATTATTCCCAAGGCAGAAAAAAAAAAAAAGAGAAAAATAATATCCACACAATTTATTAGGTAGGAGTCGGAACTGTATCATTATTTATGATTAAAAACCTGGAATACGGGCAGCCTGGGTGGCTCAGCGGTTTAGCGCCGCCTTCAGCCCAGGGCCTGATCCTGGAGACCCGGGATCGAGTCCCACATCGGGCTCCCTGTGTGGAGCCTGCTTGTGTCTCTGCTTCTCTCTCTCTTTCTCTCTCCCTCTGTCTCTCATGAATAAATAAATAAAATCTTAAAAAAAAACCTGGAATAGTTGAAACATACACTTTTTATCTTTATTTTATCCACAACATTGGGGACGGAAACCCCACAGCACACATGAAAACGATTTTTCCTCAGTTTTGGAGCTATTAATAAGTATCTGGATAATTATTTCCACATTTCCCCCCTCCCCCCGAAATATTCAGATAGTTAGATACCAATGCCTTTTTGCCCCTAAACGCACTTAATTAGTGAGGTGAAAATCTGATTTCAAATGCCACCGGGATGAGTAAGAGCATTTTTAAAAGTTTTTCCAGACACAGAGTAATTTGGTGCGGGGCTCACAAAAACCACACTGTTTTTTTTTTGTTTTTTGTTTTTTTCTTTTCTGGAGAAGACGCTCCAGATCAACTGTGGCGAAGCCGCTTCTGAGGAGAACAGAATCTTAGAATTTTAAAAACAAAGTCGTCTGCGTTCTCTAACGTAGAGATTCTGACTTTCCCCCCTTAATTCTACCAGAGGGAAGAAAATATTTAGAGCAGCTACAGTCCCGGCACCGGCAAGAGGCGCTAAAAATAAACGCCGTAACGGCTCGGCTCGGGAGGCTCCGCGCTGTGAGGGAGAGGCGACCGGAGCTCGCGGATTTAAGGAAGCGAGGGGGCGGGGCCGGAGGGCTGGGGGCGTGTCGGGGGCGTGTCGGGGGCGGGGCTATCCCTTAGGGTGGGGCCGAAGCCAGCCTCGAGGGGCGTGTCGGGGGCGGGACCGGGGCGAGGGGCGGGGCTGAGGTGGAGCCGCCCGGGACCCGCTGAAAGACCAGCCCCCACCAGAACGCGGGGCAGAGGACCTCCGCCCGCCGTCATGTCGCTGTCCCGCTGCGCGGCGCGGGGCGCCCAGCTCGGGGAGGCTGTTTCCCGCGTAGCGCCTCCCGGGGACCCTGATGATGCCCCACCCCCCAGTAGTAAGCGGCCCCGTCTAAAGGGGCCCGGCAGTGCCTCTGAGGTGGAGTGGAGGCTCCCTTCGGCACCTCGCTTGTCTGAGGCGGAAAAAGTCTGGCCGTCGCCGCCCAGAGCCTTCAGGGCGCCCCTTGTCTCAGCGGCCGTGCTTCTGGATCCCTCCACGGACGCGCGTGCGGAGAGCCCAGTCAGTGGGGCGCACGTGTGTAACCTGCCGAGGTGCCAGGACGGCAAGTGGGAGATGAGCAGTCGCGTGCAGCCTCTGCCCTCAGCAAGTCCAGATGGGGGCGTGAGGGCTCCCGGAGGGTCTCGTGAAGCGGGGCCGCGCGGCCCCGAGGCCCAGGGCGGGCCGCTTCCGTCCGCCGCCGCCGCCGCCGCCGCCGCCGCCGCCGCGCGCAGTGTCCCTGGAGGCGCGAAAAAGGCGGCTGGAGGACGGTTCTCAGTCCGAGGGAGAGACGGCATTCAGGAAGGCCGCGGTTATGTAAAACAGACAGAAAACCTATTCTTGGGTATTACCCTCAGCAGGGAAATCAAATCAGCGTGTCATGACACGAAGAGCAGAGGTAGGGCCGACACTGTTACGCCAGCAAATAGGAAAGAAAATAACGTTTCGGCATCTACGTTACATGTATCGAAATCTCCAACCCAGCCCAGCATGGAAATTGCCAGACCCAGCTATTTTGGAGATCGCAGCACAATAAGTATCCCTGAGTTTCCAACGGATTTAAATAGCAAAATGTCCTCTGTCTATTTAAAGGGGATTGCAAAGAAAGAGAATGACAAAAACGAGGCATATGTTAGGGATTTCACAAACATTTACTGGTCCCAAAATAGACCCGATGTTAAGAAGCAAAAGTTACAGGATGGTAAAAACATTGCGGATGCCGAGGGAGAAGATATTTTTTCTGCATGCTATGAAAGTAACCACCAGTCACTCAGCAACCAAAATATTTGTGTGAGAAAAGGAGACTTGATCAGTTTCAACTACTATAACCACAGTAGCATCAAATCTGATGTAACAGGCTCCGGAAAGAGTATCACTAGGATACTAGGGAATGCAAACTCGAAAGCAGCAGAAACATGCTTGGACGTTGACATATTTACCAGATTAGAGAAATCTCAGAGCCGGGACTATGACATTAAACACGTTTTGGAAAAGAGGGAAGGTTGTCTGATTATAGAGACTTACAAGACTCAAAGTGAAAATGTTAAAAAAACTGGAGAAAAATCGATTTTTCTACGATTATTAGAAATAGATCTTTTAAGCAAAGAAGGTTATCACCATGCAGAAGCCATAAATACACATGAAAAACAATTAAAGCCTCTCATGATTGGAACACTTGGTAGCCAAAATGCTTTAATGATTTTTTTCGGGTTAAAGGGTGAAGGAGAAAATAATAATATGGCACAGTTAAGATATTATACGGCACAAGAAGGCTCTCATTTAGGCAATATTTTTGAGAGTCTCATTATGGCAATTTTTTATTTTCGTGAACATATTTCAGGAAATCGAAAAGGTGACAACATTTTAACCTGGTGTGAAATTTTCAAAGATAAGAAACAAATTAGTCTTCAAAATCTAATAACTAAGATTATGAATGTCAATAGAAAGAATATGTTAAGCATACATTTGCAAACCAGTGTCTCAAAACCTCTAAATAGTATATTGAAAACCAACATAGCTTCTTTGCTTAATAGCTTTGACGCTTTAAAAAGAATTGAAAATGGTTCTAAATTAGAGGAGAAATGCATTGCCAAGTCGATAATGCCTTTGCATTATTCAAAAAATATTCTAGAGGAAAATCATACTGTAAATCTAGGAAGGATTTCAACTTTTTCAAGACAATTAGGAGATATGAAACCTATATTAGAAAAAAGAAAGTTACTTAAAAGTGATCAAATTTTTGAAGAATGTAAGAAAAAACCCATAAATTCTTTCAGTCTGACAACTAAAAACAAACCTTTTCCAACTTTTGAAACATACAAAAAATTTCCTCTTTCAATGGATTTTGATGACGGGGATGAAATTTCTTTGACAAAAGAAATTTATGAGACTAAGAATTGTCCTGAACAATTCACAAATGACAAAAATTGGGCTCACCGTAGTCCTAATACTGTTGAAACACTTAAGTCTGGTTCTATATTTAAACGGAACAGCCACAGATATACTAATGAAAAATTTTATAAAATAAATATGTACAATCAAAATTTAGATATTGAAAGAAAACTGGAGCGTAATAAGATAAGTAGCTTTAATTTTAAGTGCCTATTTGAAGATTTCTTCAATACTAGGCAACAGGCCATACCAACAAACCACAATGTAAAACATAGTGAACAAACCAATCCTAGGAGTGTAATTGAATTGCTAAATTTTGGGAGCTTGCAAAGTGAAACCAAAGAAAAAAAACATGACTCAATTTTGAAGGCAGAAGCAAATGAAACGGCACAAAGTTTAACAAACAGTGTTGAAGTTAACAAAGACACTAAGGTAGAAAAGGAAGAGAAAAATAATTTTTACTCAATGGATGGCACGTTTTCTGTGCAACCAATTTCACTAAAGAGTAAAAAAGTGAATGCGGAAGAAACTAAATATGTTCATCAAAATAATGAAGCTGATAGAAATGAAGATGAGGGTGTTCTGCAAGAAAGTGAGTTAGCTAATTCAAAGCACTTTCATCCAAAGAATGACTCTTCAGAATGTGTTATTCATCAATTTGAAACTGACTTGAGTCTAGGGAACAATGAATGTTTTCCGGACTTAAATGCTGAGTGTTTATCAACAGAAGCTCTGACAATAGCAAACGATTTTGAGATGAAGAGTAAATTTGATTTAGTACTTGCAGAACTTCATATGTTTCATGAAATCAGTCAGGAAAGCAAAAATCTAAGCGCTGTAGGAACACACAATGGGCAAGAGATTTACTTTAGAGAAAATAATGATATTAAGGAGGTAAAAGTGGAGATAAAAAAAGATTTGCCAACGGTTACAGTCAACAAAATATGTGAGTCTTCTTTGCTCTGTCAGAGTATAACATGTCCTAATACTCCTAAGAGACACCAAAGTTCATTTAAATGGGAAAGAGCACCGGATCACGGAGAACAGGAAGTTCCGAATGAATATAGCCGTCCAAGAACATTGGACGAAGAATTGCTTTATCCCATTTCCAAGGAAGGTATGAAATTAGTATTATTTATTTATTTATTTATTTATTTATTTATTTATTTATTTCACACACACAGAAAGAGAGAGAGAGAGAGAGAGAGAGAGAGAGAGAGAGGCAGAGACATAGGCAGAGGGAGAAGCAGGCTCCATGCACCGGGAGCCCGACGTGGGACTCGATCCCCGGTCTCCAGGATCGCGCCCTGGGCCAAAGGCAGGCGCCAAACCGCTGCGCCACCCAGGGATCCCCTGAAATTAGTTTTAAATGTTTTTTCCTTGGGACTCCTGGGTGGCGCAGTGGTTGAGCATCTGCCTTTGGCTCAGGTCACGGTCCCGGGGTCCTGGGATCGAGTCCCACATCGGACTCCCTGCAAGGAGCCTGCTTCTCCCTCTGCCTATGTCTCTGCCTCTCTCTGTGTGTCTCTCATGAATAAGTGAATAAAGTCTTTAAATAAAATAAAATGTTTTTTTTTCTCATGATAAAAAAATTGCTGCTTTTGTTTCTGGATAGGCCAATAATATAATTTTGTGAACAAAGGAGTGGGGAGTAAAGAGTAAGACAATATTTACTGATGCATATTATTTTCCTATGAAAGGCTGTTCAAACATTAAATAATATCCTGATGTAGAAGGTCACAAGTGATGAAATTTTTAAAAGGAGCCTTGATGATTCCTGCTTCATGTATCTCAATATGAGAAGCCAATAGGAGGAAACATTTTTGAGACAGTAATTTGTTGATGGTATTAACATTTTATGTAAAAGTTGCGTTTTGCTGTAACGTATTGATTTTTATTTTCAGACTGCGAGAAACCTTCACCTAAAAGGTCTGCTTTTTTCTCCGATGAACTTGAGGAAAAATTTAATTATTTGCTGAAGGGAGGTAAGATTTTTGGTTATTTTCTAGAATACCTTCTGAGATGATTATTGCATTTTGTATTTTTAGCATGAGGAGAGTATACTCAGGTTGTTAGAATATAAATACAAAGATGTAGCACTTTTATAACCATTAATAGTTTACCAATGCAAATTCTGATAGTTAAAAATCAGCTAAAAATTAAAATGCCATTTAGAATATTCCTGGGGAGTGTGCTTTACAAAACTGTTTCAATATTTGCAGTGATGCATTGCAGCAACTTTGTGATGAAGACAGATATTGTGTGTGTCTAATATACACATCTAATGTGTGTAACATTAACTGGCAAAACCAAAAAAGACATTTATCTAAGATAGATGATCACTGATGAGATGTTACTCCCAATTACATATTTATTTTTCTATATTCTCTAGTCTTTAAATATTATGGGGCTCTCTATATGGATATTTTATTTAGTAATTAAAAATTATTATCATTTAGGGGCACCTGAGTAGCTCAGGGGTTGAGCGTCTGCCTTCAGCTCAGGTTGTGATCCCTGGATCCTGGGATTGAGTCCTGCCTCTGGGTCCCTTCAGGGAGCCTGCTTCTCTCTCTGCCTATGTCTCTGCCTCTTTGTGTCTCTCATGAATAAATAAATAAAATCTTAAAAAATTATTATCATTTAGATATTTAAAAATTTTTTAAAGATTTAAAAAAAATGTATTTATCTTAATATTAATCCCATTCCTTGGAAGACCAAAAGCCCCTAGGTAGTTTCTTCTCCCCTGAATAAAGGGAAGGATTGAGAGAACAACACTCTATGATACTCCAAGCAAAGCCTGGAAAGGATATGGGTTGTTTCTTCTAGGACAAACAGAAAGGAAGAGATTGGGTTTAGGAATGTATTTTGAAAGAGAAAGGAAGAATATTAGGGATCACGTACTCATATTGTCATCATGGTCACAATTGTGGTAGTGAAATGGCTATATGAGGAAAATTGAAGTATGTGCAGAAATTGGAACAGAAATGTTATATTTGTTGGGAATATCTGAACCCATAATAACTCTATTGTACCTTCACTAGGAAAAGAGCCTCATCATGAAATATGAAAAATAATACAATAGCCAGAATTATTTAGTACTGTGTTAGGACAGTCATCTTGGATTTGCTTTCAAAGTGTGTAAAAAATGGAGTGATTTTCCTGAGACTTGGGAAAATTCATATTGTGAGGGAAAAGTTGGGAAATGGTGGGGAGTGTGGCTGGTAAACATGGACTATTTCTGCCTGGGTGGAGTGGATGCCTGCTTATTCCAGGTGGTTTTAAAGGATTGGGAAAGGGCTGGTTCCCCAGTAGTGCTGAAATGTTTTTGATACCTACAAACCTACCATGATGCCTCCAGTTAAATGTCTACCAGTAATGTCTCCAGTGCATCCTGGTTCTCTTTCTTTCTCCTTTCTCTGTGTTTTTTTTTTTTTTTTTTAAGATTTTATTTACTTATTCTTAGAGAGAGAGAGAGGGAGAGGTAGAGACACAGGCAGAGGGAGGAGCAGGCTCCATGCAGGGAGCCCCACATAAGACTCATCCCAGGACCCAGGGATTATACTCTAAGCTGAAGGCAGATGCTCAATCACTGAGCCACCCAGGCGTCCTTTTATGACTTTTTTTTTTCTTTTATGACTTTTTTAAACTGATTTTTAAACTTATTTTAAGATCAATTAGTTAACATAACACTGATTTTTAAAATGAATAATTTCTGGCAGTGTGCTTGAATGTTTAGAATTGTTAACTAATACAAAGTAATGAATCAATCTGGTGTACAATAATAAGAAAAGGGATCACAATTTATTTACAAGAGGTAGAAAATCCAAGGAGATGAAGAAGCATATCCTCAAAGCCACAACTAGGTGTCTGTTTAAGGGCATATGCTTTGCAAAGGCCTGTTGTTGATACAAATTGGTTTGGTGATTTCCTATGCATTGCAAAATTACCAGAAGTATCCGTCATATTGGACCATGAAAGAGGAAAGCTATTCTTTGAAAAATTAATCAAATAGACTAATCATGGCTTTGTTTGGAAATAATAATCTCATAATGAAGAAGTCCACTTAGCATAAATTGCTGAAATTATCTAATTTGTGAACAAATCTAGTGTATCAGAAAGGATCCAACAATATTGTTTTATTTGGACAATTCCTTTTTCTTTAAAAACTGAAAAAATTAGTAATATGCTTTTTCTCTTATTTTTCTAATTCACTTTATCCTTTTAATGTTGAAAAAGTATCATAAACTGATTTATAGCTACTTTTCTGGTAAGTTGTTTTCTCCCTATTTATATATAGTTAAACTTTGTATTCTATTTCATTAATATTTACATAGGTAAACACACAGATTGGTTCAGCTTAGTAGAAATTATGCTGTTTATCTTTTGTTAGAATTATTATTAGGTTGAATACACCATTTTATTCAGATGTGCTATTATATTAAGGTTCATACTAATTCCTTAAAGCTGGCTTAAAGCTTGATACATTTTTAGCTTTACATTTGGACCTCACTATTTTTTTAAATGCATTCTGAAAATTAGAGGAATTTCTGTGTCAAGAATATTTAATCCAATGTGTCTGGTCAATCCATTATTGTCCATGAAATGTTTTGAACTTTGTTGAGTATGATAATATGATGTTAAATAAAAATTTCAAAATCAGAGCCCTCCCTTTATTCATAATAGATGAAATACATTTGTACACTATTATTTATAATAATCTTTATTAGAAGCCAAATGAAATCATTAACAGCTCACTGTTTAGCTTCTAATAGTAAAATAATTTGGTTTTTAAAGCTACAACATCAAGCTAACTGTCCAGTTTTGTTATTGTTGTTAAGTCAGACTGCCTGACTGGAATGCTGATTTTATTTAGTTGCTATTTTATGTGGGTAAGTCACTTAACTTTTTTTGTGCTGAGGTTTTCATATTTTAAAAATGGAGATTAAGTAAAGGATTAAGTATTAAATTCAGTTAAAGCACTCAGTGACAGTAAATGTTGCTAGATGATGATAAGTAAGTAAAACTTTTTAAGCTTAGAAACCACAAGTAATTTTTATTCCTCATGCACTTTTATTGTCTTGTGTTTTAGGTAGTAATTTTTCACATGGGATTTCAAGAGTACTACCTCTTAAGACATGCAGTCGACCAATCAGAATTGGTTTGTCAAGAAAAGCTAAGCTTAAACAACTTCATCCCTATCTGAAATAAATGCTTGAGAACTTAAAAGAAGACGCTGGACTTTAATATTTCAAAACATTTCACAAAATTTATAAATCTTTTGTCTGTTAATTTGGTTAAATGCTTTCTCCGAGATTGGGAGTTTTGAACTTTATTTATTATGAAGTATGGAGAGGGTTTGTGTGTATGTGTGAATGATCTAATTACCTTTACTTGTTATAAAATATTTCATTGATGTTTTCATATTATGTTACAATACATACATTAAAGACTTTACATGATCTCATAAAACATGTCAACTTATTATTTTTCATGATATATGCGTATAATGCTTTTATGGAGAAGAGTGATAACCTTTATAGGTTTTCTCAAAAGGATCTGTAATTCATAAAAAGGTAGCAAAGCATTGCTTTAATCCACTTCCCTTATTTTTCAAGTGAAAAATGAGGTGCAAAGATAATGGGTAAGTTTTTTAAGGACCAAAATTAGTGTCAGGACTGGCATAGAGGCACTCCCTGAAGAATTCTTTCCTACTTTTCTCTGCGTTCACTTTATAATTTTTATTTCTCCCCCTAGAGTCTATCTTTGGCCCCAGAATAGAATTAGGATTGTGTAGTTAATACCTACTCTTAATTTATTCACTCAAAAACAGCTATATCTTAATACTACCATGTGTTAAGCTCAGAGATAGAATATAGAAGAAAACATGTATAAGATCCTGCCTTATGGAACTTATTTTCTCTGCTTGAGATTGGTGAAGAAATGGAGAACATACATAATTTAAAGGTAGCCATCAGTAGAATAATACTTTTCAAAACACTATACAGAGAAGTAACAATAAAATGGATTACTTAACAAAAAGTAAGGAAAAAAAGGAGGCATCAAGGAAACATTAAAAATCAAAGCATACAATACAGAAGGGAGACTAAATGTATCAATTCACAAAACATATGTGACTGGATTAAATTATCTTATTACAAGCCATGGTTTTAAATACACTAAAAATATCTCAAGCTCAGCTGTATTCTTTAATTACCACTCTCCAACCATATGCTTTCCAACTTCAATATCTTGCTCTGATTTCTTTTTTCCCCTGTAGAACTAACCACCTTTTCAAACACCATAAATATCTTGCTATAATGAATGCAAGTTCCTTGAAGGCAAGATTGTTTCCTCTCCACCTACTAATAGATCCCAAGAATTTACAAGTACCTGCCTTTTGTGAGTATCCATAATATAATATATGGAATGAATGAATGAATTTCTACACCAGCTCATAATGCTTTTGTCCTTTTGAATTCCTTTTTTAAAGATTTTATTTACTTGAGAGAGAGAGAGAAAGAAAGAAAGAAAGAAAGAAAGAAAGAAAGAAAGAAAGCATAAGTGGAGGGAGAGGCAGAGGAACAAGCAGATTCTCCGCTGAGCAGGAAGGAGCCACCCTGAGATTCTGACCTGAGCAGAAGTCAAATGCTTAAACTACTGGGTCACCTAGGGGCCCCCTTTAGAATTCTTAATAGTTTATGACGTTGGGCAAGTCGTCCTATCTAAAAAGGGGATAATACGGACGTCTCCATGGCTCAGTGGTTGAGCATCTGCCTTCAGCTGAGGGCATGAGCCCTGAGCCCTGAGAATTGAGTACGGCTTCAGGCTCCCTGCATGGAGCCTGCTTCTCCCTCTGCCTGTGTCTCTGCCTCTCTCTCTGTGCCTTTCGTGAAATAAATAAAATAAATAAAATCTTAAAAAAATAAAAAGGGGATAACAAAAGCTCATGGGGTCATTGTGAAGTTTAAATGAGCTAATATACCTTATGTATTTATAATAGCTCTGATACTTGGTAACTTCTCAATAATGAATTATAATGTTCTGACACATGGTTACTACTCAATGATTAATAACTATTTAGAGTGGTTGACGTTTTCTTGAAATTTTTTTTGGATAATGAATTAGACTAGTTCCAGGAATATGCCTATTCTTGGAGTCTTATGAAAATGTTTCTGTTACTTTTTTCCTACAAGGGTCCTCATCTATCTCATTTATCTTTTTTTTTATAAGCCCCATTTGGATTTTTTTCTTTTATCTTTATACAAGATCTCATCACAAAAGATTTATCTGGACAAACCATGGTCCTTCTCCCCTTTCCCTGTTGCTGTGTATGAATATTGAATTCTGTTCTCCTATCTATTTCTCAAAGGCAAAATTATGTGCTTCCAGTCTTCTTTTTAATATTTAGGAGCCTTTTATAGATACTTCCATCCTTTCTTTAATTAAATGGTGTAGAAACTCTTAACAACAAAATGGAGTTTTTTGGGAATAGCAGAGAATTGCAATTCAAGACATGCATGCTATGGCAAAATTATAGGCAAGTCTGGAGAACAGAGGCAAGAAACACTGTTTTATAGAGGAAAGAGAGAAGTTGGGAGGGACTATCGTAAACAAAAAGTACACGGGGATAACTGGGAAGTCAAAGTGTAGTGGCTTTTCTTTTCTTAAGGTTTTATTTGTTTTTATTTATTTTTAATTTTTATTTATTCATGAGAGACAGAGAGAGAGAGAAAGAGAGAGAGGCAGAGACACAGGCAGAGGGAGAAGCAAGCTCCATGCAGTGAGCCTGACGTGGGACTTGATCCCGGGTCTCAGGATCTCGCCCTGGGCTGAAGGCGGCGCTAAACCGCGGTGCTAAACCGCTGAGCCACCTGGCTGCCCTGTAATGGCTTTTTATTGGCAAGTTGTGGCTGTCTCTTCTTGGCTAGGCTCTTGTTGGCAAGGAGAAAATTTTTCTTCCTCCTACAAGGGTAGTAAAATACAGCCTTCTCTCCATTGGGAATGCAAGATATGCTCTTACTGTTGAGATTCACAATTGATAACCAGGAGTAAGGCATAAAGGATCTTTCCCTTCTGGTCTCCTTACTCTCTCTCTCTCTCTCTCTCTCTCTTTTTCTTCTTTTTCTTCTTCTTCTTCTTCTTCTTCTTCTTCTTCTTCTTCTTTTCTTCTTCTTTTTTTAAGATTTCTTTGTTTTACAGAGAAGGGGGGGAAGAGCACAGTGGAAGGAGTGGGAGAGGGAGAGACTCTCAAGCAGTCTCTCTGCTGAGCATGCAGCCTGCTGTGAGGCTGGATCCTGAGACCCATGAAATCATGACCTGAGTGGGAACCTAGTTGGTCAGTTAACCAATTGAGCCACCCAGGCACCCCACTGACTCCATTTTAACTGAGGTTTCCTTTATTCAGTTTCACAAAACTTATAACCACTGCTAGTTTTGTCATACTCTGAACTATGTGTAAGTTTATGCTCCTCACACCTTGGGGAAGACTACATCTCTCCAAATGCAAAACTCGCTTCTGCTAGTGTTATTACTTAAGCACCCCTTCCTCCAGTACTTCCTATCCAAACACACGTTTATGTACACACAAACAGACATCACCTTCCCCTTCCTGCCTAGTTCTGGGAGTTCTTGTCTCTAGAATTAGAAAATTGGAGGATAGGAGGGGAGGTAACATTTTAGCTCTTAACATTTTGTGTCTTTTTTTTTTTTTTAAGATTTTGTTTATTCATGAGAGACAGAGAGAGAGAGAGAGAGAGAGAGAGAGAGGCAGAGACACAGGCAGAGGGAGAAGCAGACTTCTTGCAAGGAGGCCGATGTGGGACCCAATACTGGATCCTGGTATCATGGCCTGAGCCGAAGGCAGACGCTCAACCACTGAGCCACCCAGGTGTCGCTGTTTTTGTGTCTTTATAGCCAGGTTTGGAGAGGCTGCACTGGGGGCTTTTGGCAGAAGACATTTTACATTGAAATCCATTCACCTTCCACTTTGTTCTTTTCATCTTTGTTTGTAAAATGTAAAAGTTGAATGCTTTCAGATCAGAAGAAAAATATTCAAAGGATGGAAAGCCACTTAAAAATAGTTGCTTTTATTTAACATTAGAATAAATCTCTGTGCTCAGTTTAAAATAACAAGCTTCTGGAGGTATAACAGTGAGCATGAGAAAGAAAAGCAGAGCATTGTATTATATCAACTTGAAAAAGTTGATAGTACCTGAAGTATAAAAAATGAGTTAATATCCATTTAATCTTACTTAGTTAAGCAAAATGTAAAACAAAATGCGTAGTGAAGCTGATCTTTAGTTCCATTTAAATTGCCACATAAAAGGATATTTAAAGAGTCAGCCATCATTTTGGGAAATTTTTTTCATCAATTTGGGAATTTTTTGGGAATTTTTTTAATAACACAGACACTTACATAGGCATATAATGATTTGTGGCGGTGTATACTACTAAAAAATGATCCTTTGGGCTGAGAGGACTAGAATATAAAGATGTCAGAAGGGTTCCAGATCATAGTTTCTTCACTTTGTGTAAAATACATCATTGTTTGAAACTACGCTTGCCAGATACTCCTATTTCATGTGCTTTTTGTTTGTTTGCTTTTAAAGCACAGGCAGGGGATCCCAGGGTGGCGCAGCAGTTTGAAACCTGCCTTTGGCCCAGGGCGCGATCCTGGAGACCCAGAATCGAATCCCACATTGGGCTCCCGGTGCATGGAGCCTGCTTCTCCCTCTGCCTGTGTCTCAGCCTCTCTCTCTCTCTCTCTGTGACTATCATAAAATAAAAATAAAAAACAAATTTAAAAAATTGTTTAAAAAAAAATAAAGCACAGGCAGTTGCTAAAATAGCAAATTCTCGGGAAATAGGCCTAAACTATTCTGTCTATCTAGGCTATGGGCAAAGAATAAACTCATGATCTAAAGTCTCTATGACTATAATATTTCTGTAATTTTATTATTTTTTGCAATTTTGAAGTACATATGATTTTTTTTTAAAGGGAAGTATGGGGTGGGTGCCTGGATGACTCAATTGGTTGAGTGACCCACTCTTGGTTTCAGCTCAGGTCAGGATCTCAGGGTTGTGGCATCAAGCCCCAAGTCTGGCTCTGTGCTAAGTAGAGATTCTTTCCCTCTGCCCCTCGCCCTGCTCATGCTCACTTGCTTACTCTCTCTCTCAAATAAATAAATAAATAAATAAATAAATAGATAGATAAATAAATAAATAAAATCTTTTTTAAAAAAGGGAAGTACTGGAACTTGTTCCCTGTACTTGACTCATAACTGTATTGAGCATCTCTGCTGTGATGTCTAAATAGGTGTCTCAAACTTAACCCAAACT